TTGTTTAATGAAAAGATTCCAAAATTTTTTGTAAATGTATTTTATTTTTGCTTAAAAATATTGTTGGACATATAAGCCACAAATCTATTGGCTTAGTCCATCTCTGTTCAACATACTAAAAAAAAAAAAAAAAAATATTGTTTGAAAAGTACGCTTAAGAACTCTCTTATTGGCGATCGCAAAGAACGAGGTAACGATATGAAATTTTGCACCGACATTCTTTACCGCTGATCTGGTCAATTTGTTATTGAAAACGAATTTTCAAACTTTTGCTGTTGTTTCGCTACATTTTGAATATACTCGGATAGCGTTGACAATTGTCAATCTTCCGAAATTCGTTTTGAGCTGTTACAGTAGCACTTAAAAAAATCGCCAGATAGGGAACAACAGTGGCGAGACACGAACTCATAAACTCAATTGTTTGTTCTCAGAGCAATGCGAGAACAGACAGAAGAAAATTAGTTGACGAAAGGGAATTACGCTAAAATGTTTGAATAGATTGCAAAACTCGCTGAACTGTGTATTGTTCTCCATATATATGCTAAATTTCGATGAGTTGATGAGTTCATTTCAAAAGAAGTAAAGAATATATGTAACAAATGTGCGTAATCTGTTAGAAGGTGAGGAAAGGAATGACTGGCTGTTTGCTAATTGCAAGCATACTTCTGCTTTTCGTTTACATGAACTCGTTTTTTTTGTAATCAGCGGCAGGGGTTGATAGGCAAAGAGATAAAAAAATTTATTTCATATTTATGCTTTCGATCCTATCTAACTATTATCGGTCGATTTCACATAATTTATAACTAACTTCATCGTTAGATATGATTAATGATATGGAAACATCTATTAATTCTTATACTCATGCAATCGATAGATGGCATGTGAGTTTAGCAACTCATTGGGGACTTCTTCTCGGTTATATACTCTAGTAATTAAGCAAAGGGCCAAAGTCAATTACCTGTCATGTTACAATCACAAAGATCAGGATAAAAAATTGAAATCGATATGTATACGAAGAACATAGAAGGTCATAGGTCACGAATTTCAAAATGGCAAAAAATTGGAAAAAATAGAAAATTTCAATATGTCACTTATAACAATACTGGAATTTCGCTGCCATACAAACTGTTCAAAATCTTTAATTCGAAATGCAATCGAATTTTGCGTAGCCTTTGTAGAGTTCTTTCTCATTTTCTAAGCGATTTGGAATGTCGTGTATAGAAAACAATCAGCAACACTGTCTCTATGATTGCTGTGACGGCTGTGTCAACTGTAGTTTTCGAATTAAATGTAAGTTAAAAATTACTTCATTTATGTAAATCGATCGATCATATTGTATGCTTGAGCGTCTATCTAGCTCATCATTTTCTAACTAGAATTAGTTGTAAATGTCGCAAATCAATGCAATATACCGATAGAATTCTATTAAAATTTTGTAATTAAAAATTGTTCTCGTAATTAAATATTTCTATAGATTTTGTAAAGACCCGTCGTTGGGATGAACGATGTGAAATATACTTATTTTGTCATAATGTTTGCAACACCCATAATGAAGCTTCATATACCCTATCAGTATATTGGTCCGTCTATGCGTATGTGTGCGATGTGTTGTTGATACTATCCCGGTCGCAAAAGTAAAGATATCGCTTTCAAATTTGCACGCGGGCCGATATTGAAGGATGGGCGAACAAACGTCAGGGAATTTTCAAAATTATTTTCCACATTTTCCTCACGTGAAAATATATTATCTGCTTAAAAATGCGTTCACTCAAAAATAAATATGGTCACGACGTGAGGGATTAGCTTTAACTTAATAATATCAGCGATATGGGTATCAAATAAGAGTAGAAGAGTTGGAGAGTGGAAGGCGTCAAGTTAAGCAGACTAATTTTAAATTTATTACGCTGAACATGGTCCTGACATGAAGGGAGGCTAAATTTCAGTTTTTTATGACAATGAACAAAAACATGGGGCGCCAAGAATTTTAATGGTGGCGGGTATGCGACATTCGGCCCCAGCCGAGTGTCACTTTCTTACTTGTTTTTTTTTTCTTCTTTTTTT